GTAGGGCAGCCAGAGGAGCTGCTGGCAGGTCTGCTGCTTTCCCCACTCTGCCCCTTCCAGCAGAAGCCCCAACCCCATCCCTGCCCCTCAGAAAGGCAGTTCCATGGAGTGGCTGGGGGGGGGGGGGGGTCTTTCCGATACGCCATACCGGCTATAAATAGGTGCTACGGCATACCAGACTTTGCCGGCCACTTTCTTGCTAGGACAGCGTACCGGGTCACACCAGCTTACATTCACCTCTGCCAACAGAGCACTTTCCTGGTCCTATAAAACCTTAGCATCATTGCTCACCTGGGACTCTTATGTAGGCATCACGATGTTGATAGGAAGTCAAACTGTGGCTTACGCTCTCCTTGTCTTGTCTCCACTACAGTGTGGGTCTCCACTGACTATTTTGCACTTGTTGCATATGCAGAATGCTCACTGAGGCTATGTCTATACTACAGAGTTTTTGAGCAAAAGTCCTATAAAACCTTAGCATCATTGCTCACCTGGGACTCTTATGTAGGCATCACGATGTTGATAGGAAGTCAAACTGTGGCTTACGCTCTCCTTGTCTTGTCTCCACTACAGTGTGGGTCTCCACTGACTATTTTGCACTTGTTGCATATGCAGAATGCTCACTGAGGCTATGTCTATACTACAGAGTTTTTGAGCAAAAACAGTAACCTTCCTGTGGAATCTCTGTTACTATTTATATGGTGCTGCAGATGCACACAGAGCTTTGTCGCCCCAAGTAGCTTGCGGTCTAAGGGCCTAATCAGGCTAGTGTGCTTCTGCAGCTCCTGGTACAATTGTATCTGAGCGCTTTCAATATGTTTATTCTCACATCCCATACAATAGGGCTGTCTGTTTCTCCCCCTTTTACAGTGGCACAGAGAGACTAAATGACTTGCCCATGATCACACAAGAAGTTTTTGGCACAGCAAGGAGACAGGCTGCACTACCCACAGATCCTGCCCCAAAGATCCTCATCCCTGGAGACCCCCAGGTGCTGGCCAAGCTTGCAGTTTGCTCTGGAACTTGTCCATGCTCCTTTTAAAAACACTCCATTTGCTTTATCTTGTTTTTTAAAAATTTGCAGTATTAAAATGTTGCAAAAATGGGATGGATTCTGCCCCCTTATAGGTCACTCCAGTGGCATGTAGAGACCACAAAGGAGCCAGTGTAGAATTTCCCCCCGCCCCCCGACATGAATAGTGTAGCTGTGTGCTGCTTCCCTCCTCAGGCCCCCCTGTAGGAGACAGGCTGGGATAGTTGGTGGGGGCATGCTTGTAGTGTTTGATATTCTAGCCTGTGGAGTAGTCAATAAGCAGTCTGCGCTAGGCTGCTGTAACTTATGCTGGGGGGGTCCTTCAGTCACCTTTGCAACCCTGGGATATGATTTCAGTGCTGCAGCTCTTGGAAGACATAGCACAGAATCTAGCCCCATGCCAGGAGTGGATGTCAGACTATTGCAAATTTTCCTGCTAGAAGTATAATTTCAAGCTCATCCCAGGGACTTTGGAAGAGGGATTAAGCTTCATGAATATTTTGAGTGAAAGTACTGCAATTCCGAGCAGGCCTGGTTGTTCTGTGATATTGCCTTGAAACTATAACATTAATCAAACAAAATCAAGTGACATGTGGTAGCTTTGGTTGTGTTTTGCTTTGAGAGTTTTGGCTAGGTTTGAACCTAAGTCTTGGGATGTGACTGCACGTGAATTAGAACTCTTACCAAGAAAAACCATAGCCCTTCACTCTTGCCTGATTGTGATCAACGGTTTTCTAACTTCCCCACTACAACGTCACATGCAACAGCAGCCTTCGCTTTTGTTTGTATGAATTAAAAACATGGAGGGGAAAACCCATGGGCCAGATCGCATTTAGTTCTTCTACTGGTGTAAAATCAGAGGAGATCCAAGAGTAAAAGGAGCCTGCCCTGACCTCTTGTGCACCACACAGAAAGGTCAGGATAGAGCTGCTTTAAAAAGAAAACAAAATAATTCAAAAATGAGGATTTTACTGGGTTTGGAGGGGTTATCATTTTTTATTATTATTATTTTCACTTTTTTCAAATCTCTCAGCAATTTCCACCTACCCTGTAGAGATCCTGTTGAAGCTCTTTGTCAGTGCTGTACAGGGGTGTCTTAATTGAAAAATGTATACCCATGAGGGGAGTATAGGGGTGGCTCTGTGTCTAAATCGTAGGTGTGCCTGAAACCCCAAAAGGGCAACAGCATGGCAAGAAGCAGGCGAGGTCCTGGTCCTCTCAAGCACCCATGAACTGAGCAGCAGAATTTGCCAGCTGCAAAGCCATTAGCAGAAACCCTTAAAAGAGCAGAGCAGTATGCTGACTGCACTTTAGCATCTCTCTATATCTCTTTACACTGGGCTGAGTCTAGGTGGCCAAATGGAACACTATACATTCGCCTTTCCCTTACTCCATCTAGGCCAGGCTAGTTTATGCTGATGCCCTGCACTGTCTGGTTCTTGTCATTAAAGGCCTCTGTTCAGAGCGCTTTGCTTTTTTCTTTTCTTTGGCCTCTGCTTCCGACCTTTATTTGTTCTCTCTGCTGTTGTGCCTGTAACCTGCAGGGCTATTTGTGTTCTGATTTCCTGTTGTTTCAGAAGCTGCATCTACACAGCATTCTAAACTCAAAATAAGATATGCAATTTTTGCTATGCAAATTGCATATTTTATTTCAATTTTATTTCAAAATAGCTTATTTTGAAATTTGGCATGTCTACACGACGCCAAATCTCAAAATAAAGCAGGGTATGTCTACACTACCCTCCTAGTTCGAACTAGGAGGGTAATGTATGCATACCGCACTTGCTAATGAAGCCCGGGATTTGAATTTCCCGGGCTTCATTAGCATAAGCGGGGAGCC